TCCAGTGGTGGTGGAAGCATCTCAGCACTGGCATGGGTCTCCAGGTAGCTCCTCCAGCTCCAGGGCTCTGACTTCATCAGCATAGCTCCATGTGGCTTGTCAGCAAGAATGTATCCCAGGGAGAGTGTGTGTCCCACCTCCAAGGAAGAAGACAGGAGTCCCCAGAATCCTCAGGAAAAGGCCATGCTTCCTTGGCTGTGACCTGATTGACAGGCTAGACTCCACCCTTCACAAGTTGACAGATTATGTAACTGCCACAAGGCCACATAAAATGATTTATTAAAATAAAAAAATAATTTATAATTTAAAAAGCATGAAAAAGCTCAAATTACAAAAATTAGAAATAAAAGTAAAGACATCGCTCTCAATTTCAAAGAAAAATGAAAAAACAAACAAACACTATAAGATCATACTAGTAACAATTATATGCCAACAAGTCAGACAAATTAGAAAAAATGAACAAATACCAAGAAACACACAAACTACCAAAACAGACTAAAGAAGATGGTGTTAGACTGAGTTGTCTAGAGAGACAATCCATTGACATCTATGTACAAGAAAGAACTTTATATCAAGAAGCAACTTTACATTCAAGGATGCGCCTCAGTCTAACTCAAGTCCATGGGTCTGATGCTAGCTTTGGCCCTCTTCAGACTCATGTAGCAGCTGCAGGCTGGTGACGAAGAAGGTGAAGCGGGAAGCAAGGACATCACAGGCCCGTGAGCAGTCATGTTGATCCAATGTCAGTGGAAACATGTCAGGGTGCCGACAGCTCTCAGGCTCAGGTAACCCCTAAGGGGGCTGCCCACGGAAGCAGGAAGAGTCCCAGCATGCTGGAAGGCACAGGGGAAAATACATGGGCAGTAGGGGTCCCTAACATCTCTCTTATAAAAAGGTATCTTAAGGCCTGATTGGCAGGTTGGACTCCACCCTCCACACATGTAAACTGGTATAAAATCTAACTACCACAAAGTTATAGGAAGTCGGAATAGACCTATACACGAGATTAAATCCATAATCAAAAACTGATCATGAAATTCCTAGGACTGTGGTTTCATAATTTAGAAATTTCTACCAAGCATTTACAGAGAAATCATTGGCAATTCTTTTTCAAGTTCTACTCCCCCCAAAGCCAGACATATCAAAAAAAGAAAACTACCGGTCAATAGCAGGAGTGTAAAAATGATCTACAAATCAACGGGAGAACAAAGTCAGTACCATATTAAAGAGACTACAGAAAGGACATAATCCAACTAATGCAATGTTGGTTCAAAATAATGAAAAATCAATCAATGTAATATACCAGTTACTAGCATGAAGGGAAAAAAATTATAGTCAACTCATTTAATGCAGATATAATCTAGGACTTTTCCATGATAAAAAAGAAAGGCATCCAGATTGGAAAGAAAGAAGTAAAATTCACTTGTGATACAATCTTTTATGTAAAAAAATGCACAAACTGTTAGAATTCATAAACAAATTAAAATTTTTTCCAATATCCAAAGTCAACACACAAAAAATTTGTATTTCAGTACACTCACAATTAGAAAATGTACAATTCCTTTTACAGCAGCATAAAACATACAAATATTCAGGCATAATTTTAATCAAAGAAGTGGAAGATTTGTACATTGCAAAGTATAAAACATTGAAAGAAACTAAAATAAGACTTAAAGGAAAGATACTAGATTCATGTACTGAAAATATATAGTTAAAATGGCCTGACCCAGAATAGATTCAATAGAATAGATTAATAGATTCAATAGAATTCCTGTCAAAGTCTTAATGGTGTTTTTCATAATAATCAAGACATCCAAAATTCACGTGGAATTTCAAGGGACCCGGAGAAATCAAATGACGTCGAAGAAGAGGAACAAGGTTGGAAGTTCAGGCTGTGAGGGTGGCAAAGGGCTTGGTGGTGTTCTGTTCTGTCCAACTGACCAGGCAGCACCTAACAGTCTTGCCCACTTTGGGCAGAGCCTGACTCGCTTGACTTTAAGCTGAAAGATTTATCATTATTTTAAAAAGTTAAATCCTCTCTCAAAGAATAAAACGTGTTAATTTGGGCAAGTACCTGAAATGCTTAGTCCACCTTCACCATACTGGATTGGGAATAAAATGACAAAAGTGACAAAGAACGAGCAGTGTTAATAATTTAGTAAGGTGGCCCAAAAGAACCGACTTCTAGGGCACAAACCAGGACACACTTTTTTTTTCCTTATTCAATGTCTAAGTTTATTATTTTTAATCATTTTATTAGGGGCTCATACAACTCTTCTCACAATCCATACATACATCAATTGTGTAAAGCGCATCTGTACATTCATTGGCCTCATCATTCTCAAAACATTTCCTCTCCACTTAAGCCCCCGGCATTAGGTCCTCATTTTTCAGGACACACTTTTAAATGTTCCACCCCACCTTCCCTGAAGGGAAGCCTCCACAGAATACAGTATGATAAATTCCTTAGGCTCTAGCTTCTTTAAGTGCTTTGTGCCTGCTATATTAATAGAAACCCACTACCATCGATTCGATTTGACACACAGCAATTCTAGGTTTTGGAGACTATATATCTTTACTGAGCGGCCACGGCCCCATTTCTCCTAGGGCCCGACCGGTTGCTTTTAAACTATCGACCTTTACATTCGCAGCCTAAAGTCTACCCTACAGCGCCCAAATGCGTATTATTTTCAGTCTTAACAACTCTGTGAAGTAGGGGCTCTGGCCTATTTTTATTTTACAAGGGAGAAAACAGATATATGAGGTGGCTCATTAGCCAAGATCACTCAGCTAGCGAGGTCAGAGTTCAAATCCAGGCAATGTGGCTGGAGCTTGGTCTCAGGCAAAAGTTGCTACCTGGCGAGTTTAAAGAAGCAACTGGGGGACGAATGAAAAAAAGGAGCAACATTCCACACTTCAGAAAAAGTACGGCTTTCCTGAGAGACAACTGAGACGGCACCTGACAACTTACCGCGGAAGGCGCGGAAGGGTTCCTGAGACCGCCTCCTCGCAAATTAGCGGGCCCCGTTGGGCACCTTCCAAGAAGCGTCAAATCGCCGGCGCCCAGTGGGAGGCGGGACTTCCGGGTAAGAGGAGCAACTTCCGGCCGAGCCGGAAGTACCTGGGGATACTCGCCCGCCCGAAGGTCTAGGCGAGTTTTGTGTTCCACAGACTCGAAAGCAAGATTGGGCGTGGGTTAGTTTGCACGTGGACACGTTTTCAGGGCAGAGGAACACAGGACTTGGGACATGGACAGTCGCTTGCAGGAGATCCGGGAGCGGCAGAAACTACGGCGACAGCTCCTCGCGCAGCAGGTCCGCGGCCCGGAGTGGCCAATGCGGGGAGGGTTTCCGAATGCGCGTGCGCGACCGCCCTCTCCCCCTTCCCCCCCGCCTCTCCCGCCTGCTTCTCTGCTGGTCTTCGTCCTTTCCACACCTGCCCAACTCCTGGCTCCGTCCACTTTTCCCTGGCTTTTGGTTCCTACCTTGTTCTCTCAACTCCCACGTGACCCCGAGTGCTCTCCGATCCCTGCCGCCCTAGCGCCTGGCACTGTGCTCGATGATGGGAATACAGAGCTTTGGTCTTTGTAAATAGTTATCGCAGTTCATGCAGTTACTCCCAAAATTTCATTTCACTATCTTGTTGCTCTTCTGTGTCTTGCCATTCCTCCGGTTCCACACGGTAAATCATGATAGTGTGGCTTCTTTGTGGAATGGGATTATCGCGGGGGAGAGTCAGCACCTCTAAAGACTGCATTGGAAGAAGTCCACTGGTAAACAATAGGTTACCTACCGCATTGTTAGCACCCACAGCTAAGATTTGTATTCTAACTAAGCTCAGTCAACCACCCGGTGTTCGTAATAGTGTTCTCGTCATTTAATCAAATAATAATGAGCACCCTCGTGGCGCTGTGGGTCAGGGCAAGGTCGGTCATTCAAACTCACCTGCCTTTTAAGGAGAAAGATGAGGTTATCAGTTCCGTCGAGCGTAACAGCCTCAGAAACCCTAGTCACAGTGAGTGGGAATCCACGCGATACTGGTGGGTTTTATCCAATCGAAACGAGCTCCAGCTATTAAGGAAATTTGGCCCAAGACTCTCACAACTAGTCCATGAGATTAAATCCAGGTTTGTCTCCCCAAAGCTTACCCTCTAAGCTACTCTTATTTAACTGCTTCTTGGTTATGAGTACCTTAAACAGAAGAACATACTAATCTTGCTGACGAATGGAGGATGCATGTGAAAAGTGCAGATGGTACTAGTTCTGCAGAAAATCAGAGGCTGTGTTGTCCTGTCTGCTGCTAAGTACAAGGATGGAGAAAATGCTGCATCCACTTAGAGGCATTTTGCTGTTATTTTATAATAGTAAATCTTGATTTTAGTCAACTAGAGATCTAAAAGATATCATCTCATGAATTGAATATGTTTCTGATTTGGTGTTTAAAATGTAATTTAGAATCAAATCTATCCCTGCCCAGTACAATCCTAGACATATGAGGCATTCTCTGTGCTAGGTCTCCCTCCTACGTACACATCTTTAGTCCTACAAGTCAGATGAAATCTGAATTGTTCAGATGACAAAAACAGCTCAAAGAATCTATTACTTGCCAAAAACCACAAAGCTGCTAAAAGTGAGCTGGGATTTGAATGTAGCCCTTCCCATTCATTTTCCGGTATGCCTAACTGCCTCCTGAAAATCTTTACAAACCTTCCTTCCACCCAAATAAGGATGCTTGACGTAATCAGTGACAAACGGCTAGTTACAGAACCTCACTAGTTGCAGAACCTCTCTGGATGAACAAGGAAGATGTGTTTACTTCCAGAAATTGATTTGTGCTTTATTATTATTTTTGTAAAGTCCCTGTCTTCCTTCCTGTCAAAATGTTGTTTACCCCTCCATGGGCAATTTCGCTTGAAACTAGGTGATGGGACCTGTCCTCATCTCCTTGGGTGAGACTCTGTCTCCAAGCTATCATTGTACTTAGTGTGGAGTCCTTTACTATATGAGGGACTTCAAACTTTTCATGGGAAGAAAAAAAATCAATTTTCCATGAATTTTTTGAAGCCGCTTAAAAATTGTGCGAATTGTCATGTTTTGTTGTTGTTATTAAATTGATAATGACATGGAGACATCATACGTACAGAGTAGAATTGCTCCAAAAGGTTTTTAAGGCTGTGACATTGAAGCCTTTCTTCTGAGGTGCTTCTGGGTGGGTGCAACTACCAACCTTTTGGCTAATAGCTGAGCACTTCAGCATTTTACCATCCAGGCACTCAGGAATTTTCCTGTAGAATACAAGTAGTTTGAGAAAAAAGTCTTTGTATATAACTCTTGTTAGGTAATCTCTCCTACCCTTGAATGGCTTCTTTCACAAAATAAGATTTTAATGAATATTTGTTAAGTGATGAAATAGCAGAACAGAGCTCAACCCTCATGCATAGCTGGCTTGACTTTGCCTTTGTTTGCCTAGGAAAAGCCATGGGAGACAGTTAAGTCAGCAGGGGCCTTATGGCAATTTATACCTGTTTATTTAAGGTCGAGCAGCAAGCTTCATCCTGAGCAGTAGCTTTATTTCAGAAAAGTGAACATGTCTCTAAAGTTAGCAAGTTGTGAAAGTTACTCAAGTATACAATTTCAACAGAATGGAAAGTCTGTTGTCAGCTTGATCTAGTCACTGAGATTTTAAAAAGTTGAATCATGAGAAGACAATTCTATAGGCACAATTTTAATTTAAAGCATTTTTCTTGAATTGTGTTATAGTCTAGGACCACCTAGAATTAGTAGAAAAACTCATTCATTCATCAAATTCATCAAAATAACTCAGACATTGCACTAGCTATGGTACATAGAGATGTTAGCAAGGCAGGCAGGATTCTTCCCCTCGGAGGCTTTGTATTTCAGTGGAGAAAAGAAAAAATTAAACTGGTAAAAAAATATATTTGGAAGTAGTGATGGAGACAATCAAAGAATGATTTATAAAGGAAGCAAATGATAGTCTCTGAAAGCTGTATTAAATACTATGAAGCTTATAAGGAAATATAGCAATTGTTAAAAAAAAACACAAAAAACAACTCACTGCCATTGAGTCAACACTGACCCATAGCAACTCTATAGGACAGGGGAGAGCTGCCCCTGTGCGTTTCCTAGGCTGTAAGTATTTATGGGAGTAGAAAGCCCTATCTTTCTGCCACTGAGCTACTGGTGATTAGGAACTGCCGACCTTGTGGATCGCAGCCCTAGTAGTAACCACCATGCCACCACATCTCTCTGTTTCAAGTATATTGTTTATGGGAGAATTCTGAAGAAAAAGCTTGTAGTTACCTGATATGTGGAAGGAGGGTGAGATGGGGGTTTAGTCATGCCAAGAAAGTTAGTAACATTCTAGTTATAGAAAACAGATGTATGGTCTCCTGACTTAAAAAAAAAAATAGGGGTCAAGGAAATGTGTAGAATAGTTGAAATTTCAGAAACAGTTGATATATTGAAAGCTATTTATCACTAGAGAAAACTGAAGGGAGTGTTTTGAAAGCGGGTAGACTAAAAAGGCAGAAGGTAATTATTCAAGATCAAGGCTAGTAACACAATGTTCTCATATGTTACTCTAAACTTTCCCCTCTTTCTAAGCTTAAGGGACCATTTAATGCAGAGTTCTTTGTGCCCTTTGCGTGCTTAAAAATATGAATGGGTTTTCATACCATATGAATTGCGTTCTCTACTTCTTAGTCTGGATTTTGGCGCTTTCCATGAAGTCAGCCTCGCTCCAGGTAGTCAGCCTCATATCAATCAATAGTTTACTTACTTAGTTTATGCCTGCAATTTCACATGCCCATGTTATTAGTGAAGTTCAGTACTGTGCCTCCGAAAGTTTTGAATAAAAGTGACTAAGTCATGGGGTAAATAAAGCACTCAGTAGCTTGCAAAGGGGTTAACATAGTGCTGCCTCTATAAACACTTTGCTTTGTTGCTGCTGCTGCTACAGGGTCATTTACTTTTAAAAGGAAGAGTTTGACCAAAATTAAGTGTCATTTCAAACAAAAGCACAAATACTTTTCCAGCTGTTGCAAATCACTCTTAATTAACCTTGCTTTGTTTAAAGTATTTCCATTTTGGCTTGCAAGCTAATTGATTGGTTTGCTGTGATGGTTAGAGACGTGTTTTCGTAATTCTTGGTGGCTCATGATTAAGCTTAGCTGCTAACAGAAAGGTAGGTTGGCAGCTTGAACCTACCAAGGGGCTCTTGAGCGAGAACTGGCAACCTGTTGCCTTGAAGATTGCAATCTCCAAAAGCCTATGGGGCAGTTCTCTGTTGTAAAGATTCGGCACATGCCATAAATTGATTTGATGACATGACATAACACTTAGCAACATAAAGGGTCACTATGCAGTCCCTGGAGGAAAAGGCCGTCATATTTGGCAAAGTAGAGGGGCAGCAAGATGAATTAACAAAGCAGCTGCAACAAGACGCAACCTAGGAACAGTGGTGAGGATGGCGCAGCACCAGGCAGTGTTCTGTTCTGTCGTGCATCGTGTTGCTATGGTTCGGAACCAACTCTGTGGCACCGAACAAAAACAGGGTCACTAGGACTCATGGCAGAGGGACTTTTTTCTTTTCTGTTTTTCCCAAGCATATTAATGCTAACGTAGGAATGGATGGAAAGATTAACTAGTACATTGTGCTCTGTCTTTTCTCAGTTGGGAGCTGAAAATGCTGACAGCATTGGTGCTGTGTTGAATAGCAAAGATGAGCAGAGAGAAATTGCTGAAACAAGGGAAACTTGCAGGTCAGTTGAGTAATTTGCTTTTTTAAAGTGATATGTTAACATTGTGAAAGGATTGTTGTAATAAATAATCTTAGGCATGAAGTGTTTTGTTACGAAACCCCCCTAAGGACATAAGCACCTGGTTTTTATTGTTAACTCTCAAGTTAGTAAATATCTATTTTTCTGATTAGAATAAGTTCTCACTTATAAATTAGTTAGAAAATGGGATGCTAGACTGAGAATTAGTATATATATGGTGAATATATTTTATAAGAACATGCACTTGACTATGAAAGTGGTATTTTATTTGATAGTTCAGAAACCATTTGACTCAGACCCTGAGTTACAAATGAGACCGGGTCCCCAGGGTGCCTTGGTGTCAGATGTGCAGGGAGAGTGCACCATGTGCGTGTGGTTCTTATTCAGCCTCAGAGCCTTTTCGGTGGGTTGAAAGTTGCACATGCAACTTGCATTGCAGTAATTGAAAGTGGATGTGATGAAGTATTTGTTGTAAGGAGTGATTCAGTCTATCAAAATGAGAATATATATATAACATTGAAGGGCAAGTACATTGTTCTGGTGCTCCTAAGTCAAAGCTTCATAGTACGTTGTTTTCAACCCAGGGACTTAGTCTGTTCTAGTTATTTTTTATCATGAGTGTAGATGGAGATTAAGTTGCTGTGTAAAGTAGAAGTTTCTTGTTACAGTATACCCCTTGAACGTTTGCTTTTGTCCTTTAGTTGCTTTCTCCCTAAAAATAAAATACAGAATTATTAATACAAGAGCTTGTGACTTTTTTGATGGTGTATAAAGTGAGTAAATAGATACTTAGTAATCAAAAACTGACTCAACAGCACCCAAAGGCAACAGAAATAAAAAACTTTCCCTTCTTCTGTTATTAAGAAATATTGTATATTAGATATACACTTATATACTTCTTGCATACCTGTGAGTGACACATATGTTTTAATTTTCAGGGCTTCCTATGATACCTCTGCTCCAAATGCAAAGCGTAGGTGTCTAGATGAAGGAGAGACAGATGAAGACAAAGTGGAAGAATATAAGGCAAGTAGAGAATGGAGCTATTTTATAGACAAGAAAAAATAATTCCTTGCCATTACAAATCCTTCAAGAAAACAAAGCTGAGGGAAGGCTGAATTTTAAAATGTGCTAAAATAATGATCGTAATGTACATCCTACCAGTTAAATTAAAACTTTCACTCACTATCGGTTTCCTTGTCCTAAATTAAAAGTTGTACAAAATAAATCAGGTTGCTTGTTTGCAACACTTAACATAATGCCTAGTAATCACTAGGCAATGATATTCTTCAAGAATATGTGAAGAGATAAATGCCTCAGAAATGTTTGATGGGCAATCAAGTCAAATTTAAAAGAGATTAAAATACTGTCTTTTAGAGTTTTGTTATCATGGTACAATTTAAAATTTTGAGAATCATGGGCTAGACAACATGTAGAATCATTTTTGAAAGAAGCCAAGTAGCTACCCAACTTCTGTACTTAGAATTACAAACTAAAAAGACTTAGCTAGAAAGAAAAAAATCTAGCTCCATTTTTTCAAGTTAATTGTACAATTATATTTACTAAAGGACAGAATGCATGGTATCAGTAAATCTTGAGGAAATTTAAATCCTTTGGATATAAAACCTCAATACTGTCTTGTGTGTGTTTTACATTTCAGTATGTACTAGTGTATAATATATATACTTGTAATTCTGTTTCATTGAACTATATGAAATTACTGATATGCTAACAACTTTTTTACTTTTAACAGCAATTCTATAGAGATTTATCTAGAATGAAATTGCCCCATAGTGGTCATATCTTTCATGATTAGAGATAAATTCTGATATTTGTAGTATCATATGTGAGATAACTTTAGACAACTTAGTCAACCAAAAATTAATTTCAGGGAACTATTTCTGAAGATACATAAGCAATACATATAATTAACTAGTGAGATCTAATGATAGATTAAAAAGTAAAGAGTTCAGTATTTGACTTTAATAGAAATTTGAAACATTTATTATATACTAGGGAAATACAATGCTTATGCTGAGTCTTGATTTAGATGTCAAAATCTGAAAAATATTTTCCCTAGATGCATTGTTTATTTGATTCCCCCCACTCCAGGATGAACTAGAAATGCAACAGGAGGAGGAGAATCTGCCATATGAGGAAGAGATTTATAAAGATTCTAGTACTTTTCTTAAGGTAAATAAATCATTTCCAAATCTCCTAACTCTTTATACTTTAGCTTTGTGCCTGAAAATATTTTAAAACTATTTAAAACCTTTAAAGAGTTTTTCCCGTTTTTATGGGATCATTATTATAAAATAATGATCACTTGGAATTACTCGTGGAGTTTTCTTTTGTATTGACATTTTAGGATGAGGTCATGCTTTTTAACATCTGTAGTTCTTGAAGTATTACACTTAAAAGTTTTGTTCTGGTGTTTTAAATAAGACTAATTTTAAAAATCAATTGATTTGTTTAATTTTGTATGACCTCATAATAAAATTTTTTAAAGGATAGTGTTAATCCACTCTCTGAGTGCCTACTGTTAATTTTGACTTTTTCTTTAGGGGACACAAAGTTTAAATCCTCATAATGATTATTGTCAGCATTTTGTAGACACTGGACATCGACCTCAGAACTTTATCAGGGATGTAGGTATGTCGTATTTCCTGAGATTGTAGTTTGCTCTTTAATGATGTGCATGCAGTTTATTCAGTTTCTAGATACCGCGAACAAAATTGTATTTCTCAGCTTGGCATCCCTTTTCTGTTCTCAGTACTTAGAGCCCACCTTAATTTTCCATGAAGCAGTGTTGTGGACGCACTGTGGTTTGCTGGGTGTCGCTGAGTTCTTTTTAACTCACCAAGGCCCGTAGGTCAGACTAGAACTGCCCTGTTTGGGGCTGTACTCTGTACAGGCCAGAGTGCCAGGCCGGTCTCCTCTGGAGCTGCTGGGTGGGCTTGAACTGCCCATCTTCTGTGAGGAGCTGCCTGTTTAACTGCTGTGCCTCCAGCACTGCTGTCAAGCTGTCACGCTTCTGTTGCTCTCTTCCTTCTCTTCTCCCTTTCCTTCCTCTGCCCTTCCTGCTTTTTCTTCTTTTCATATCATTTGCTTCGTTTGGCCCTATGATTAGCCTTTAAACATATCTATTTATCTGTGTATCTATATAGATAGCTATAAGTTATAATCAACTTGATGGCAGTGGGTTTTAAGAAAATTTTTTATTGAGATTTATACTATACAATTCACCCACTGATAGTTATGAAAGTGTGTTTTGTCTTGTTTTCACCTTATTCACTCTATTGTCAATAGTTTTTCATCTCTTCTAAAGAAACACTGTACCCTTTCATTAGTCTCCCTTCTCTGGACATTTTATATAAATGAAATTACACAGTATGTGGCCTTTTCTGATTGGCTTCTTTCATTTAGCTTAATGATTTCAATCATCATCGATTCCACTTGTGCATCAGGACTTGATTTCTTTTTATTGCTGAATCCTATGTCTATATTACATTTTGTTTATCCATTCATCCCTTAATGAACATTCATTAGGATTTTTTCTATCTTTTGGCTGTTAGGAACAACATTGCTATGAGCATTCACAGACAGGATTTCATATGGGTCTCTGATTGAATTTCTGTTGTGTGTGCTGTATTTTATGCAAATAACTTGAATTACGTGATTTTCTGAAAACTGCTTGCACCTCCACATTAGCCTTTTATGCATACAATATGAGTTATTTACAAAAATACAGTATACCAAGGAGTTGACTTTTTCAGTCATATGATAACTCTCTGTTTAAGTTTTTGAGAATCTGCTGCACTGTAAGCCAAGCAACTGCACTACTTTATACTTCTGCCAGCATGTGTGGGAGTCCTGGTGGCATAGAGAATTACTCATCGGACTGCTAACAACAAGGTCAGCAGTTTGAGACCCCAGAGTACGGTGAGGCTTTCTATTCCCAGAATGATTTAGAGTCTTGTAACCCAAAGGGCTGTTCTGCCGTGCCCCCTCGGGTCGCTGTGAGCTGGCATGGAGTCCATGGCAGTGAGTGTGCTTCGGCGGAAATCAGCATGCATAACGCCTTCAATGGCTTCAGGTCTTTGCCTCTTGTCACCATCTGTCTGTTCAGTGTGGACACTTGCGTTAGTTTGCTAGCGCTGCTTTAGCAGAAATACCACAAGTGAGTGGCTGTTTTCAAAAATTGATTTTTTTTCCCTTTCTCTCAGTTTAGGAAGGTTAGCCTGAAGTCAGGCTGATAGTTTTACTGGAAAGTTCTTTCTGTCCACTGGGAAAAATCTACAGCTTAGTTTCTTCTACTTTGTTCCTTTGTAATCTCCACATAACATTAATTTTTCCTCATTTATGTTTTCTGCTGTGCCTTCTCTTTTTATATTTCAAAAGGGATTGGTTTAAAACACATTGTGTTTCTATAGCATATTTCAAACTTTTTCATAATGCTATTTTGCACAAATAATAGATTACCAAAAAACCCATTGCTATCAAGTCAATTCCAATTCAAAGTGATTTTAGATGGAATCATTATAGGAAGAGATAGCCTTTATCTTTTGCCTGTGGAGCAATAAATGGGTTGAACCACTCACTTTGCAGTTAACAGTGCAATGCCCAACCCATAGTGCCACCAGGGCTCTGTCATTAGACTGCAGCATAGTGTAAGCATAACTTTTAGCTTTAAAAAGCCAAAAAACTTGTTGTATGCATTGAGAAACCAAGAAATCCTTATGACTTGTTGTAGTGCAATGTTCACTTTAGTGCAGTGTTTTGCAATTGAGTCCAGAGTGTCTCTGAGGTATGCCTGTGTGTACGGAATTATTACACAGTGAGGAAAAGCACTTTCTATTTAATAGATAATTAAGAGCTGACTCTGTTGTGATTGAAGCTTAGCTATAATAAAATCTTAAAATATGTTTTATTTGAAATTGAATCTCTAACACAGTGAGATGACTTTCGAAGATTTCATTACTCTTTGAAATTAAAGTTATTGATATATTTTAGTTTTTAAATGAAGTTTGTATAACATTTGTTTTTTTTGTTTAAACATTTTATTAGGGGCTCATACAACTGTTAGCGCAATCCATACACACATCAGTTGTGTAAAGCACATTTGTACATCATTCTCAAAACATTTTCTCTCCACCTAAACCCCCGACATTAAGTCCTCATTTTTCCCCTCCTCCCCGCTCCCCACTCCCTCATGAGCCCTTGATAGTTTATAAATTGGTATTTTGTCATATCTTGCCCTGTCCGATGTCTCCCTTCACCCACTTTTCGGTTGTCTGTCCCCCAGGGGGGATGTCACATATAGTTCCTTGTAATCGGTTCCCTCTTTCCTACCCACTCTCCCTTTACCCTCCCTGCTTCGCCACTCACACCACTGGTCCTATAGGGCTCATCCGCCCTGGATTCCTTGTATTTTCAGTTCCTATCTGTACCAGTGTACATCCTCTGGTCTAGCCAGACTTGCAGGGTTGAATTCGAGTCATGGTAGTGGGAGCGGGGAGGAAACATTTAGGAAGTAGAGGAAAGTTGTATTTCTCATCGTTGTTACATCGCACCCTGACTGGCTCATCTCCTCCCCGAGACCCCTCTGCAAGGGGATCTCCAGTGGCCTACTAATGGGCTTAGGATCTCCACTCCGCACTCCCCCCATCATTCACTATGGTAAGATTTTTTGTTCTGATGATGTCTTATACCTGATCCCTACACCTCGTGGTTGCATAGACTGGTGTGCTTCTTCCATGTGGGCTTTGTTGCTTCTGAGCTTGATGGTTGCTTGATTACCTTCAAGCCTTTAAGACCCCAGACGCTATACTTTTTGATAGCCGGGCACCTTTATGACTATGTTTCCTGCACAGGGAATGAAAGCCCAGTAATAACTGTTTGGGATCTTTGATACTTCTACCCTTAACTGTTATTTAAACTGGCATTATGCAGTTTTACATAAAATGTCATCTGAGGTTTAACGCTGGTTTTTTTTAGGACATAGAGAAAAATTAGTCTCTTGATTTTAGTATCCTTTGTAGGATTTGTGAGGAGCCCTGGTGACATAATTGGTTATGCATTAGACTTTAACCTCCAGAGCAGAAGTTCCATAAAGATTTATAGCCCTGGAAATCCGAGGGAACAATTTTATTCTTCCTATAGGGGTCAGTATGAGTCAGAACTGATTTGAGGACATTAGGTTTTGTTTGTTTGTTTGCTTACACTTGTGGGACTTAGATTTTTCTCAAGGTCCTAAACTGGGAATATATTGAATAGTTGGGATATAATGTACAGCTATAAGATCTTTAAAACTATTAACATTTGTTTGAGATCATTGGTATAGCTACTATGTCCATCTGGTCTTCATATTTTTTGCTAATCCTCTACCGAGCATAATATACTTCTCTAGCGACTGGTTTCTCTTGGTAGCATGACCACAGTAAGTGAAGTAAAGTCTTGCCATCCTCACCTCTAAGGAACATTCCGGTTCATTCTTCTAGCTGACCATGGTATAATTAGTAATATTTTTCACCAGCACCATGATTCAAAGGCATCAATTCTGCAGTCTTTATTATCCAACATACCCACGCATTGCATATGAAGTGATTTAAAATACCCTGGCTTGGGTGAGAAACATGTCCTTAAGGCTACGTCTTTGCTTTTTAAGGACTTCTAGTGAGGCTTATACTGGTGATTAGCGACTGCAGTCCCTCATTTTGATTTTTTGACGACTGCTGCTATGAGCATTGATTGTGGATCCAAAGAAAATGAAATCCTGGATATCTTCACTTTTTTCTCCGTTTACAATGTTTGTTTATTTGTTTGTTGGCTTTTGGTC